GTGTATCAGAAACATCTGGACGACACAGGATCCAAAACTGATTTCATGTGCCTCAAACCAGAAGATACCTACCATCTGGGCACTGAGGATGTGGAAAGTGCTAGATTTTTAGCTGATAAGATGGCTGGAAAATAGAACATAGGGTCCTTCAGAGTACGGTCAGACCAGAGCACAAGTAGAATTGTAGCATTGCCCAGCAGAGCCAGTAAGTAAAACAGAGCAGAAAGGCAAGGAAATCCATCTATGGAAAGCCGCCAGTCCTGGGATGTCCACAAGAAAAAAGGTGTCTGAGTGCAAAGTGGTAGTGTTGGTGTGGATCATCTTGACACTGATGAGAAGAGAAGTAGTGGACCAACACTGGAAGGAAAATTAAGACTTAGAAATACTTAGGTTAAAACTTCTCCAGTTTACCTTCTACGTGTATTTTTCTTACTTAAATAATGTAAGATTTAAGTCTAAAATAAGAAATAGGCAGAGATTGAACACTCCAAGTTGAATGGAAACTGACCTTAGAGTAGGCTTTGGACAAGAAAATATTCATTTTCTAATTCTCATGCAAAACCTAGGATTAATTTTGAATAACATAAATTTATATATTTATATGGCAATCTCAGATTCTCTTTGAAATGCACTTTAGCACTTCAGTACATAAAATCATAGAAGGACAGATACCAATGGCTGCACAGAGGGCATGACACCGGGCACAAAACTGGCAGTGTCCTTAGATGTATGGATTAATGGACAATTGTGGCAATTTCCTGCATTAGTATGTTTTGTATCTTTGTGTGGGTACATATTTTTAAAATATGCCTCAAAATTTAGCATGCTCCAGTAATTCCTCCTTCACATGTCCACTCTCACAAGCCCCATCAGGTATGCTGCATGAAACCCCTGATATAAATCATTTGCACAAAGACGTGAAACATTGCTCATAGAAATCATTCAGAGAAGAAAAATACATTTCTTTGCTAGAGGGATTCTGGTTGGAATTTAATTAATGAGGAAGTCCAAATATTCTACTGTCTGCCAAATTCTCCAAAATATCCAAGAATTTTCAACAATCATCCTCTTTATCCAGTGGAGAAACTAAGGTTTGTTAAAAGGAGAAAATGTCAGAGAAACAAAGAAAAGAAAATGATGGTGGTCAACAGTCAGCTGAAGAAATTCATTTTTCTGACTAATTTCATTTTATTTGTGATCCTTTTTCCTTATTCCCTTCCTTCTTCCTTGTTTCTTCTTTCCTTCCTTCCTTCCTTCCTTCTTTACTTCTTCCCTCCCTTCTTCATTCCTTCCTTCCTCCTTATTCTTTCAGAATTAAATGGAAGAGGATAAAGAAAAAAGAAGATAGGCTGGTACAGAATGAAAAAGATGGAGAAAAGAAGAGATGAAAGAGAAAAGAATTAAACAGAAATGTTAGAAGGATGAGAATGACAACTGTTAAAATGTCCTGAGAACTGAAGGCAAATTTCACATTTTGAAAAATATTTTATTCATGATTATTTTAAAATAGACATTTCTGCATCTGATAAACCCCATAAGACTATACCAGTCTTGGTCTTTTCCTTTCTTTTTTTTGTAATCAACTTCATAAGTCTGCACTTATCTTTGGTCCTCTGCTAGCCTTATTTGTTACGTCATTACCATAGAAGACTAAACCCCAGTGCAAAATTATTGGTAGGAATAGAGATTACTATTTATACTACAACTTTAAATTCCCTCCACAAAAGGATATTACAAGAATGTAAATGCCCTAGTCCATTATAGTAGAGACTTTTTTCTGTCAGGAAATCTTTCTATGTAGCAAATGGAGAATAGTGGTCAATTAGGAAGTCAATTGTACCCTGTTCCTTAACAGTTCACCAGAAGTCCATGTCTACCGCCAATTTGTACAATGGGTTTGTGGGATGCTCACCTCCAGCAGGGACAAGGCTAGCAACCTCTCATGTGCCTCAGAAAGGGAAGAGAGTTTTATAATAGCAATCCTTAGAGACCTGGGAGACCTGTCTGATTTAAAGATAATTGAAATTTTTCTACCAGTTCTAATGAGGACTAACAACTCAGAGGCTCTGGGGGAAAATTCTTCTTTACTAAAGCAGGAACAGAGGTGCTGATGTGGGGGCAGACACCTCCCCATTCCTTACCCCCTGGTCACTGAAACTGTGACTTGGAATTCAGAGATAAAAAAATAATACTAACTGAACATTCATAGGAGTTGAAAGGAATCTCTTTTTGGGTAAATTTTGTTCAGTGCTTTTCTGAGAAGTTATAATATCGCAGATTTAGCGTGATAATTATCAGTATGTATACCTCCTCATAGCAGGTTTAGCATTCATCAGATATTTACTAAGATATCATGAACATCAGTAAGACACAGCCTCTCATTTCTTTTCTGTACACTACTCAAACAACTGGCTTTAAATGTAAGTTAAAAAAAATAGAATAGCTCCAATGTATTTACAAAGAAAGAAAAAAATGCTTTATTGTCCAACCTAAAAAGTAGTCATTCAGCATAAATGTTTCCTGGTAGTGATTCAAAATAAAAGTTAAATGGCATTTAATTATAGAAAGTAAACAATATCATTGAGCAATGTACATGCATTCATATATACATAGATAAATAGAGAAGAAGAGTAAGGAATTCTGGATTACTGTCATTAATACAAATCTTTAGTCATCTTATAGGAAATCAATACATCTAACTTGAATAGAATGGAGTAGTACATACAAATAAATTCATCATAAAGTCTTTTGGAACTAAATGACAGGATATTGACAGAAGCACTGAAAGTAGATGTTTCCAAGCAGCAGAATTGGAGCTTGGATTTGGGGGATTAAAAAACACTATTCTATTCACTATACCTCTCACTGTGATATTTTCAAATGTAATTTATGTGATACTGCTGTTATGAAATTTGAAAAATACAAAGCTTTCTGAGGTGTTTAACACTATGCTTTCCCAGAACAAATTAAGGTATGAAGCAAATCTAATTTCTTCTATTATTTGTGTCATAAGAAAAACTTATTCTAAATTGCACTTCTCTTTTTTACTGATACATAAAACACATCATGTATAACCTTATTAATACATACTTTTATTTCAATATACCTTTGCTCCTAAAATCTTAAAACATTTACCTTCCATAGTCATCTTGACTTTGAGGAAGAGCAGACGCCACACCGTGCCTCTTTTCTGAACATCTTTGCAGCTACCTCAGTGTCCTGCATTTTAAATGTTTACAGCAATTTCTGACAAACAAAAACATAACTGTGTGTCTACCTCCACTCATCCCCAGGATCTGGCACTATGAGACTTTTGGCTCTTCCCCTAAGGCAAAAGAGCAGTGAAAGGTAAAAGCTTTTAAGCCATTTGGGATGTAGAGCCAGGCACAACAGCACAACTAAAGACACTCACAAAAGAGGTCTTCTAAATTGCTTCAGAAAGTGACAAGAATAATGGAATAAGTGTGTTCAAAGTGAGGGGTAGTATTTTAAGGGAGTAAAAGCCAGTGTGTCTTTGTAATATTTTTAAAATGTAAATATTCACTGTATTTTTATCACACTGCATATAATGTCATCTCTGTAAATTTATATTGTATAATTTTACATAGAAAATATTTATCTTATTGTATCTTCAGCATGACAGAAGATTCTCATTAGGGAGCATATAATTTATATATTTTACATATTTAGAAGAAATATTTAGGAATTAAATCATATGAGACATTGAGCTTTATATCTAATACTAAACATTTATTTTACCTGTAAGTTTTAGTGAGAAAATAATGCTAAATATAAAAACTTCTATTACTGATGTTGTTAGAAATTGTCACAATTTATTAATTCTGGACAATCAGTCATGAAAGAAAGCTTTCTGTTCCCAGTGAGAGAAATGGTTACAACTCCTATGAGTCTAGAGAAAAACTTATATCCTAATTATCTGAGCCACTCCAAGAAGCAGCTTTGAATCTTGCCTTGCACTAGGTTAACTGCTGTGTGAAATAGTACATTTCTTTATAGCTCAATAAATGTATACCTTATTTCTTCAGTGTACAATCATACACATTTCAGCAAAAATATTATCATAAATATTTTAATATAGCATATATTTAATATATACTATATAATGTTAAATTCACTTGTCACAAGAAATCTGTAAATTCACCTTCCATTGTGAATGATTCAATGGATTGGCTTGGGAAAATGTTCTTCACTTTCTCACTCATACACTGACTGTTTTTAGAATTAAGTGATTTACTCAAATTTTCTCAGTGAACATAATACCCTTTTCTCAATAGCCTACATAGAAAATATTATTTTTTGCACTTGTAACTCATAGAAATATGTACATTTAACATCCACTTTCCTGTGGTATATGACGACTAAATAGCAAACCTGTAAGATCTTTCACTATTTCTTAGAACTGTTCAGTGGACATTTATTAATTAAAAGCTGTGTAAGTCACATTGTGAGTTTGTGAGTATATCAATAAATACCAAGTTCCATATAGTGCAAGGTTCTCATTTATAATATTGTTCATAAGTTCAGAAATAATTATAAGTATACAGTAAATCTCTCAGCCACATTATCTTTGACAAAGGTGCCAAACATATTCACTGGAAAAAAAAACCTCTTCAATAAAGTAGTGCTGGAAACACTGGCTTTCCACAGGGTGACTTGGTGATTAAAAGAGAGTAATATGGAAACACCCATTAGAATGATAATTGGTTGGATTTGTACAAAATATAGCCGATTTTCTCCATCTTCTTTTAAATTTACAATCAGCCATCAAAAATAACATACAAGGATGCCAATGGACTACTATTGCCACAAGTATTGGATACCAAAGTTTAGGCTATCACTTGCTGTATTCAATAATGCACTTAAAAAAGAAAACAGAAATAAACATTGCTGTCAAATTTATTTAAGTGTATATAGTATCATAAGGTGTTTCTCTACTAAAAAGGTCAATTTAATATGTACTAGATGCTATTGCTTTTGAATTACTTATGTAATAATATTTTCTTCACACGATCATAGATCTGCTTGGTTTTTACCCCATATATGACAGGATTGAGCATTGGTGGGACTACTACATACAGATTGGCCAGGAGTATATGGATACAGCGGGGGACATTTCTGCCAAAGTGATGAGTCATGAAGGAAAAGAGAGCAGGTGTGTAGAAGGCAAGGATGACACACACATGAGACCCACATGTGCTGAGGGACTTGAGTCGGGCATCCCGAGATGGGAGACGGAAAACAGCACAGAGTATCTGAACATAAGACAGGGCAATTGCTATAATGTCAAAAACCAGAATTGAAATAGCACCCAAGCCATAAATGATATTGATCTTGATACTGGCACAAGACAAACGAGCAAGGCCCATGTGCTCACAGTATGTGTGGGGAATGACATGATTCCCACAGAAGGGCAGTCGTAGTATGAGAAATACGAATGGGATAACAGAAGCAAATGACCTCACTAACACACCAAAACCAAGTACAGTTACAACCTTGTTGGTGAGAATGGTGCTATAGCGGAGTGGGTTGCAGATGGCCACACAGCGGTCATAAGCCATCGCCAAGAGGACTGCCGACTCCATGCCAGTGAAGTTGTGGATGAAAAACATCTGCGTGAGACAGGCATCAAAAATTATCTCTCTGAAGCTAAACCAGAAGATTCCAAGCATCTTTGGGATGGTAGCTGTTGAGAGGCCCAAGTCAATTGTAGCTAACATGGCCAGAAAGTAGAACATGGGTTGATGTAAGCTGCTGTCAGCCCTGATCACAGACAGGATAGTAAAGTTCCCTACAAGTGCAATCATGTACACAGCACAAAAGGGAAAACCGATCCAGAGGTGAAGAGTTTCAAGTCCTGGAATCCCCAGCAACAAGAAAGAGGAGGGGTGAAACTGGGTATCATTGGGAGAGAGCATCCTGCTTGATAACAACTGAGCTCATGTTCTTACAAATGTGTATTCATCAACCTGTAAAAGTCAGTAGAGTTGGAATCTTAAAGAAAAAAAAGACTGTTATTCCACTGTGCATATCTTTTCTTGAATTTATCCACACAATCAGAAATACAACATATAAAGAACACTGTGGAAAACCACATTCTGAATGAGAAGGCTCTGGAGGAAGTTATGCTGTGAAATTTTTAAAGATTAAAAGTACAGGACTCGGGATTTAGCTCAGTGGCACTGCAACTGCCTCACAACTGCAAGGTCCTGAGTTCAAACCCCAGTAACAGAAAAAAAAATTAAGAAGTACATAAGGGAGCCATGGTGACGCACACTCATATTCCAAGCACAATGGGAAACTGAGGATTGCAAACTAGATAGAGCCCAGCCTGGGCAATTTAACAACTTAGCAAAACCCTATCTCAAAATAAAACATACATACATACATACATGGATGGAGCTGTAGACAAGTGTGACGATCCTGTGTTCTATCCCCAGTACCATAACATACACACACATACAAAGCTGTACATTGTTCATCTTTGATATATTATTAATCTTTGTTATTTATTCATCTTTGTTAGGTTCTTTCTTTGCTATTAATTTGCAATAGTTTTATATTTGGTATTGTGCAGATACCAATAGCTACTGCACTGGTTATATACTCATCACCACCAGCACTATTTATTTTCACTTTGGTTGACAGAGGGATTTGCCAGGCCATCCAGGGAATCATTTCTATCTATTCCACTTAGCTAGATGGTAACACTAATGTAATGTACAAGTAGGGCATTAAGTTATTAATGAAGATAATTTTTAAAAATGTAATCTACAATATTAAAAGTCATTTAAATGATGAAAAGTGACCCATTTGTTAATATTAATTTATTATTATTATAAAAAAATGAAGCAACATTTACTGAGGTATTGCCTGCTCTGTGTGAAATTCAAGGTCAGAGCAAGTGCAATATCATAGGTAATCTCTATAAACACCTGCAGGAAAACATTTTGAATATATTTTATAAAGGAATGTACCCAAAGACTTCAAAGACTCATCAAATGGTTGAAGTACATATGTTTACAATGCAAGGGGAAAGTACACGGGAAAATAGTGAATGCTAGGAAAAGAGTAGCAATAAGGAAAATAAAAATCATACCTATCCATGGCATAAATAAACACATACCATACACATATATTCACAGATATAGCCTCCTAAAATCACATCTATCTAAATTAGATATTTCACTGTGTATTTTAAATCCAAAACAATCATGTCTTTCAAAGGCTAAGAAACAAAGTAAATAAATTGAAAAAAACACACACTAAATACAAAGACAATCTATTCTCCATTTCAAGTTATTAGAAGCAAAGAAATTTTATAATTTCAAAGTAACCTAAAGCTACATGTTTTTAAATATTCTCATGTACTTTATTTATGACATTGGAACGGGTGTATTTTCAAAGGATTCAATCTTTTATACTCTATAACTATTTCATAGTAAAAAGACTCTTTTGATCATTTTTATCCCTAGAGGATCAATAGTACCTATGACTACAATTTCAGGAAAACAGTCAGGCTATTATCTAGATATTGACATGAAGGAGGGACAAGGCAAAAAAAGAGGCTCCAGGGTACACGGGTAGCGGACAGAGCAGTTCACTATAGGTAAGGAAATGGGGAACTCTTAAGAGGAAATGGCAAACATTTAAAAAGAAAGAAAGAAAGCAAACAACAAGAGATGATATTTGGAGGAGACACACTATGGAGTGCTCTTCAGAACAGATTTTTTTCTTCTACAATATCTTATCCTTATAAGAGTAATGAAAAAGGTGTTTTAAAGGTAACCTAGGAGAGAAAGTAGGATACTTTCAGTCATGGAAATACTTTTTGTATGATTTATCAATGTAAGTGACAATGGCAGATTATGCATTCAACATTCTGTATTTCTAAACGACATCTACGAAAAACAGGAATGTAGTCAAATAGACTGAGAAAGCAATAAAAATATTTTTTCTTTTTGAACTCATCCAGGATACAAAGTCTAGCAAAACAGAAAATTGTTTTAGCTAATAGTTACTGGGCTGACAATTTTAAATTTATTTTAATTAATATATACATACTAATATATACTAATATATATACATACTAATATATATATATACCATATATATAATATATATGGGCACTGATAATTAAAGGAAAAAAATCCTATATTTCATTTTTTATAAAAAGTAGAGATAGTATTATATTTTAAATTATAACTAAAATAATGGAAAAATTATATAACTTAATTCATATCAGTTTATCCTACAGTGAGGCAGCGTGTGAGTAGTTGGTTAAGTATACAGTGATTTGAACCCTGTGTAGAAATAATTGAATGACATATACAAAACAATGAAATTGTATAGTTGTCAATATTACATCAATACCATTCAGTGACTGACTATATTAAAAATTCTAACAGCATCTCCCTTCCCTAGCCACAATTTTCTAAAAATATTGTTAAATGGAGCCATATGTTCTTTAGCCCCACTCCAACAGTCCTGGATTTTATTCATTGATTGATTGATTGATTGATTGGTACTGGGGATTGAACTTGGGTCCTTGTGCTTGTGAGGCAGGCGCCAAAACCACTGAGCCAAATCCCCGGCCCTCCTAGCCACAAATTTTTAAAAATTCAATTGATTCTAATTTTTAAAATCAATACATTTGTCTCTCTCACGACAAGACTTGTTCAAACCATTTTTTTTTTAATTTGATTGATTGCAACCCAATGTCCTGCAATATACAGAAGGATGAGTTCTGTGGTCAGTCTAATATCTGCATAATGATTGTGATCAAAAGAAAGTAAATAAGCATTGTTGGCTGTGTCACATTCCACAGCTATCTTAACAATTTTCTGCCTCATTTTCATCTATAAGGAGATGGTAAAGATAAATAATCCTACAAATGTCATTAGATTTCAACAGATAATTATTTTAAGATACTTTAAACCATATTCCAAAGATACCATGTTGTGCATTATTTTTAGATATCAGCAGATTGATTTTTGTAAAATTTGCATTAGATAGATTCAGGCTATAATCCAAATGGTTTTAGTAGTTTCATGACAACTCCTAGCCATAATTCTTATTCATTATCTAAGCTTCATCCTTAGACTTCTTTCCCCCAAAGTTTTCGGTCTCCTCTTCTCTCCTGCTATGCCTCTATCCCTTTATCCATCCCTAGGTTCTATGGCAGCACCTGTGCAAAGAGAGAGAAGAAAGTCTCACCAGATTGAGCCCAGGATAGAATCCTGTCTCTGTTTTTTCTCAACCCATCTTGTCCACTATTTATGAGGATGCTTCTCATTGCCTAAGAGGCACTTGCAACAGAAAATCCCCTAGAGGTGATTTTGTAAAGCTCACAAAGTCTCTAAGGAGTCTACTTTCTAATGTGGTCTTGACTCAGGAAGAGAGCAAAATTAAGGAGCCCACATTGCTAATCAAACAAAAGGGCACATAGGTCAGCAAGATGGCAAGACAGGAGGACTCAGCCTCCATTCCCCTCACAAACACTGATTTAATAATCATTCATGGAAAATAATTTTGTAACAGCTCTGCTATTCAAATGAGAGGTTTCAGCAACCTAGTGGAGCAAGAATGAGAGAAGGCAACAGTGAAAATGATAAAAAGAAAAGCTCCACTTGCCCATGTGACACAAGACAGATCATTCTGCTCACTGACAAGAGAAATCACTCAGCCCCAGCATTCTCTTCTGGGAGAAAGAAGACACAAAGGAAATGTGACACATATGTACATGGAGCACTGTCATTCTTATAAAGTAATAAATTTTGTCATTTGTAACAACATGGATATACCTAAGTGATATTAAGATAAATAATCTCAGCACAGAAAGACAAATACGGCATGATCTTACATGTGCAATTTTAAAAAATACGATTGTTTAACTTAAGAGATCAGAGGCCTGGGGCCTGGAGAAAAAATGATTAGGAACACAAAATTTTAGCTAAGCAGAGGAATAAGTTGAAAAATTCTATGTTCCATAATGGCAACGATACTTAATAACATTGAAAGTTGCTTTTAAAAGTAGTGTTAAAAATTTCTACTAATATGTAAAACCTGCCTTAGTTGCAGGTATGACATTTGTCATGACTTTCAGAAATGCAAGCTAGAGAATTGGACATTTTCCTGACTCTGCTGAACATGAATGTAAATTTCTTTGGCTCTCAGCCTCATCCAAATGCTCTACACTGGACTTTACACTGGATTTTACTGTCTGACATCTCATGAATACACCTGTTTAGACATTTTTCATCAGTAAAATATCTTTTGTCAACAAATTTAGTTTAAGGATCTAATCAGTTTTTATTGGTGATGCATGAATCAAGGATAATCCTGTCTGAAAATACAGGATTCTACATTAGAGAGGACAGAACAAATAGTTTTTGTAGAATATATTGAGCAGGAGCAAGGATACCAAATAATACAAAAATTGATTAATTCCAAGGTACTTTTCTTGACAAGTTAAAATCAAAGAGGCTTTCTTTCTCTTGCTTTCTGAGGTTGACCTGTCTCTTTCTGATTGGTTGATGTAAATCTCCTATTTTTAGGAGAAACTGTCCGTTGGAGGATTTTCCTGACTGTTTGACTTCATTACGTGCCACTTTGCCCAAGTGAATCAATCCTGGCTTGTTCTAGTCTAGTGGCTCCTAAAGCAAGAACCCAATATAAAACAATATTCTCCCATGAGTTTTAATGAACACATATTTTCTGTAACTGTATTGCACATTACAGATGCTACTTCAGCATTTTTCCAGACAAGCTCTCCGATATGAATATCCAAAGCTTTTCTTCTTTTTTGACGGGGGAGAGGGGTGCTGTATTTATTCATTGACACTGAGTTCATAACCCTCACTCCCGACTGCTGAAGCTTATCTAACAGTCACTTTTCCCATAAGGCATACAATAATCTTTGGTC